TCAATAAGATGAAGAGTAAATTTTTTTATTAACTAAAATACAACAAATTATTTTATACAATAAATTACAACTCTTTAAATTATAAATATATTTTTATACTCTATAATTTATTATATAAAATTATTATTATTTTTTAACAATTTAACATGTAACAAGATCAAATACATCCAAAAAAAAAAAGATGCACATTTCAAAATATAACTAATATTACTAGATCTGAAAAGTCATGTACAATTATATAAAATTATTAATTATATAACTAATGAAATACTTATATTTCTTAACCATTTGTTTTGATACATTCCCACCTCCATGCGTTAAAAAAAATCTACAATATGAAATCTACGATATAAGAATCTGATTAATTTGAAAAGTTATATGAAAAAAACAAAAAAGGCAAAACGGATATTCCATGACGAAATTCCCAATAGACCATGGCTCACGTGCTCAGCCTTGACCGTATTAACAGTGAAAACTCGAAAGGTTGACGGACGTGAAGCGGAGCAGTTCCGTTCTCTTGATCTCCGATTTGAGCAACGTCAATCGAAATCTCCCCCCGCGATTTTCATTTCATGTCCTCAGCCACATAATTTCTTTTGTCATTTTGTGAGAAATTGTCTTCACGGTTCGTGCAATTTATTCAAATTTGTTCTCTTCAAGCTCGATCAAGCTCTTATAGATTTCTCTCGAGAGCTTGTTTTGCAGAGAGAGCTCATCTGATCGCGGTAAGAAGACATTCAAATTCAGTGAGATTCAAATTTTCATAGATTTTCCGATTATATTTTCTCAGTTGCCAGACAGATTGTGTTTGTGTGGATCAGGAATAACTCTAGCTTGTCAGTTATTTCGTGTTGTAGAACTATTTAACAGTACAGTGACTCATTCTCTTCTTCTTCTTCTTCTTCTTTTTCATCAGTATTATCTTCAGCTTGAAGTTGAAGATGGGAGTGGGGAAGAACGAGGTTGACATGGAGGAAGGAACTCTGGAGATCGGGATGGGTAAATTCTGTCTTGTGCTTAG